TCCTCCTCTTTCGCACAGATGCGTCTCATCTGATCAGCAGGGCCAGCCCCGCGCCCAGCCCCGCCACCCCGGCAAACGCCATCAGGGCGTTCCTGATCGTCGACTCGGGGTCCTCCACGCGGAAGAACTCCACGAAGCCGTCCTGGAGAGGGAGGGGAGACAGAAGGCACAGTTAAAAAAAAAAGAAAAGAACCACCGTTGATTGCAGTGAAACCATCAATCCTGGGACATGTGGGTCTTTAGCAGCCATCTTCTGGAAACAAGTTAGATGCTGAGAAGCACCAGCCCAGGATCCTAAACCCATTGAACACTGATGTTTACAGTCAGAGAAACTATGGTTTAGGGTCCCTGTAGGACTGTAAAAATGAGAGGGGGTCTGGAATAATGGTTTAGGAGGGGAGGAGGGAACCCGGGTTGGGACAAGGGGAACAAAATCGGCCCAATGCACAGGACGGCGCTGTCGGAAAGCCCGGCTGCCGGCCCACATCAGGGAAACACGTAGGCCGCTCTCGGAAACCAGAAGCGGGCCGGGTTTAAAATAGCACCCGACGCAGGAAGGGAGCTGAATAATGCAGGAGCACCTGGCGTGCCGGAGTAGGCAGGTGACGCGCTCGCCAGCCAGGGCACAAAGGGAGATCAGGTTACCAGCAGCAGCAGCAGCAGCTCGGGTTACTGATGAGCCGCGGGAGGGAAGGAGGGGAGCTCACTTTACAAAGTCACCCTAGAGCGCCGGCGACCCAGGACCCACGCCATTTCCGTTCCGAGAGCCCGGATCGTTCGAGGGAGGCCAGACTTCCCTGCCTTTACCGACAGGAGCTTTCCACTCCCTGGGGACAGGGACGAGCCGCCTGCGCTCGCTGGAAGGCAGCGTGCTCTGCTCTAGGCCTGCTGTTGGCTTGATGAGCGTCACGGGGAGCGTTACCCAACATGCACCTGCCCTGCCGCCTTCCCACCTGATCAGGTGTTGCTAGACCGAGCTCCGGCGTCTCCCCCCCCCCCCTTCCAGGAAAGCCGAACCAGCTGCCCGGCCTCCGCCCGCGTCCCTGGTACCCACCCAGCCTCGGTTGTTCAGAAGCCACTCGCGCTGGTCCTGCAGTAGGTAGTTGGAGATCGCCTGGCCCACCGCCTCCACGCAGCTCTCCCGGCCCGAGTCCTTCATCTGCTTGGCCACCACCGCGCCGAACGACACCAGGCTGGCGATGCGGCCCCAGTTGGTCTTCCCGTCGCTGAACAAGCTTTTGGCCACGCCCGTCACGAAGCTCACGTCCTCACCCTTGTTCTCCAGCTCCAGCTTCGCGATCATGCCTGAGGGAAGAGGAAGAGGAAGAGGGTTTCAGTTTCGGCTTCCAGGAGCTGCGCCCCCCCCGCGCTCATCCACCGGCTTATTGGCACAAAACGGGCCAGAACGCCCCCCCGCTGTTAAGGATGAGGGACGCTTTGAGGCATCCGAGCTGAACAGGGGAGATTCTAGAAAGCCGCAGGGCACGTCCCGCTCGGAGAAGACGAGCGCTTCTCGAAGATCGCGTCTCTCTAAATCTAAGTCACAAGCCTTGAGATCAAACCGCGCCGGAGCTGAAGACGGAGGTTCACAGCTCCAACCCCACAGGAAGTCCCGACACGAGCGACACCAGACCCCAGGAGGAGGTGCCCTGACCCGGCTTGACATCCAAGCAACACAGTGACCGGCTGCCACTGAGGACACGGCGTTTCACCTGACCACATCAACGGGGGGGCAGCCAACGCTCCTGCTTGATGCAGTGTGCTCTTCCAAACACAAATGCCTCTTAGGACTTCTGTGAAACCTTCAGTAGCTCGGGGCACCCAGGAGCAAAACCAGGTCTTGCCAACTAACTGAACCGCAGGGCTGGGATGAATGAGATTACAGGCTCTAGAGATCCTCAGAGGCCCACAGGTCTGTGGACAGAGGACTCCCCTCGTCGGGCTACAACACGCTTTTATCAACCAGAGATCACCAGAGGCCGACTGCAGACTCGAGAGCAGCAGCAGAAGCACCAGACCAGGAGCCCTCTGTCCCCCGGAGCCTCGGCAACAGGGGACGGATCGAGCCCGCTGGTGGGTTGGACAGGGAACCAGCCTGTAGTTCAGCCCCTGGGCTGAGTCACCCTCTGTTGCTCAGGGGGAGGTCAGAAATGAGACCTGCAGCACTTGAGCCTTCAACCCGAGTTCACAAGGGATCACGCACGCCTCCCTTGACAACTAACGCCAGGTAACCTAGCCAACACTGGCTAATGGGGAGGTTCACCGCGATGGGGCCTGCTTACTTCCCTGTCCACACAGACACCTTGACAAAGAGTTGAGGACGGGGCTTTAAGCATCCAAACACTTGACCCTACAATAAAAGAGATTTGCATCATGCTATTGCACCACTGTCTGAGCCAGAGTCATGTCAAACAGGATACTGAAACCGCCAGCCCAACCAAAACCTCAGAGTTTCAACGTCAATAACAGAGCCGGGACCTCCTCGCACCGCGTCTCGGGTGTTTAAGCGCAGGCCAGGCTCGGGACTGTCCACGCAAGGACGCGCTCTCTCGCACCGAGCGACGCAAGGCGTCAGGCCACAGGCCAGGCGGCCTTATCAGCGCTCGGCAAGCCGGAGCGGAACTCGCGGCCCCCGCCTCCGTTTCTGAGAAAGCCGCCTCTAGCGCGCGGCCGATTCTCAGAAACAGGAGGCGCGCGGTTCCGGGGGGGGGAGGGCGGCTGGTTGGAGAGCGCGAGAGCGCTTCGACTCTGCAGGCGCGAGGTGGTGGTGGTCGCCTGCGCTGCTGGTCGGCCCGGATACCCGAGAGACAAAAAAATAAGGCTTTGCTGTCCCCCCACACACATACAATTAAATTAGCAACAACTGCCGATACAGGTAGAAGCGAAACCAAGCCTGTTTTTTTATTTAAAAGACCCGGCTACACTGCGCCAGTCGTGGATAATTATAGCATTCTTCGGGGTGGATTATGATTAAAAACCCATGAGGCACAACGCCCATCCGCCGGCCCCTGAGGTGGGTCAAAACGCTCAGTGCGCGAATCACTCCTTCAGCTGGAGGCCAGAGCCTGGTTTTGTGTGGAACGGCAGCAACACTGCGTATCCAAGGCCACCCCCTGCGATTTTTATGATGTATCCAAAGCTGCGGCTGTAGTTATGGAAAAAAAAATAACTAAGAAATGGTTCTCTAGCAGATTAGTGTTGCGAGGGTGAAACTTGAGTCATCCCCCGTGACCGCACCGGACTGCGCCCTCTCCGGCTTTTTGCACAAAACAGGCCAGGACTCAGTGACTCACCGTCTGACTGGGCCACGAATAAGTTTATTCCCCTCAAAAGCAGATGCAATTAAAATTGCTTTTCTTACGAGAAGGTCTAATTTAACACATCAATTTCCCTACGGGATTAATAAAGTATTATCTATCTAATTTCCCCCCCTGTTAACGATGCGAGGCTTTGAAGCATCTGATCAACAGGAGAGATTTAACAAAAGTTGAGGTTTGAGCCACATTCTGGGAAGATGCTGTATATTTCTGTGTTCCGGGGGAAGTGACGCAATGGCTGATTACAACCAACTCCCCCCACCTTGTGACCCCCACAAATCTTCAGCCCCCCCCCAAAACTAAAAGCGTTTCTGGAAGTGACCTGTTTAACTGGAACACACCCCCGCCTTCATCGCTCGGGGCTTTAAATGCGACATGAATATAACCTTTGTTCCGCTCCCCTCACACAACCAACCGTCTCAATTAAACACCCCCCTCCCTGCGCCGCCTCTGGAAACCGACACGGTATTATAATGAATTAAAGAACCGAGCCTGGGACGTCTGCGGGCCGTTCATATGTAATAGTGGATATGTAGATCCACAAAGGTCTAAAAACAACCCAACCAGCCTCACACAACACGAACGTATTCAGCCCAATTTATTTTCTCTTAAGCAGCTTTAACAGATCAGATCTACCACGGCGAACAGTACCATGGAGACAGCCGAAACGTTGCGTTTCTTTTCTTGTCTTTTCAGCCTGAATTAAACCTTTACTCGTTTATTATCGCTACTCCTCTGGGCTTGAATCTCCCCATCCACCGCGGACATATTACCCACTTTCCTCTAACGACCAAGAGCGCAGTATGCGCGGCGATTAACGATAAAGGAACCAAGTTAACTGGTTTATTCCCGGTTGAAAAGAGAAGAAAAAAAAACAACGTTTCGGCTGTGGAGCCTTCTTCGGGCGTAAAACAAGATGGGGCAAAAGATGGATTAATGCTAAATACGAGACCCCAGCTCTCATCGCGCCCCCTCGCCATTTCCCCCTTCGACCCAGGAACAGCCGGAAGTGACGTGTCCTATTGCGTCCACTACCGACCTCAAAGACCTGCCTCTGCCCCACCACCCCCAAAAAAACAATAATTTCCCACGTCCGCTCAACATTTCCAATCACCGACGTGCTTCCCACATTATAAATCTTCGGTATACTATCTCCTGTATACGGCCCTCGCCCCAGGAACTTGAACTCCCCCCTCCCCCGCTGATTACGGAAACTGCTGACGGAAGACAAAAGCGAAACTTGCCGAATTAATTACCGCAATTAGTCACTTTTGTTTACCAAGCGAAAAATAAACCCACAGCGCCGACCCGACTGCGTAGCATTTAAAAAAAAACCTGCAGTTAAAAAAAAAAGGCACCGGGTTAGGAGAGATTTAAACACTCCTTGCTTCCGAGATAAAATCGCGGTCTTACCCCAGTCGCTTTGCGCTACACTTAGTGGGGGGGGACCCGTAAATTGTTTAATGCAAAACAAAAGAAAACGGTTCAAACGGACAGAATGATGTTGGTATTACCCCCCCGGCCATGTCCCGATTCCCAAAGCACCGCATTAATCCCGCCGAGAACAGCTCTGAGCAGGCAGGCCCACACAACTGGACTGGATGTACAATGCGAACACCCACGGAAGAAACGCGACCAGCACTCGCCTTGCCGCACAGAAAAGTACGGATTACACCACTACGAAATGCATCCAGAAGGAGAGGCTTCACTTTAAGGCGCCGATACTGTAATAAAACAAACACCGCAAGAAAAGACCCCTACCGTGGTAGGCGATCTGATGCTTCGCCACCACACTGTCCACGACGCGCTTCAGGGTCTCCAGGGCCTTGCCTCGGCTCCGGCGGTGCGGCAACCCCGTGTACATCTGCAAAAAGGTCCCGATTAACTCCCGGGTCTCCGCGTTCAGCTGCCCGTGGGCCTCGGAGAGGAACTCGGGGACGCTGCCGCAGTCCAGCGGGGTGTCCGGGGTGGAGGGCAGGGACCCGTCGGCGTGGCCGCTCTCCGGGAAGTGGCCGCCCAGCTTCAGCCCCGCGGGCAGCGACCGCGGCGACTTGGGGATCCAGGCGCTGGTCGCCACGGGCTCCGCCGAGTAGTTGTCCAGTTCGTCCTCGGCGTAGTCCGCCTTGAGCATGGGGTCCAGGACAGCCGTGCGGGCGGCGGACCCGCCCGGACAGGGCCCCAGGCTGGCGAGGCCGGGGTGAATGGTGGTGGCGTTGGGGCAATAGAGCTGTATCACGGCGCTGGCCGAGGTGCGCTTCAGCGAGGAGAGGCTCATGGTTCGCTTGGGGGTTTGCAGTTGCTGATTAATCCACACAAAGGTTCCCTAAAAATTTAGCCCTACTCGATTACGATGGCTAGAGAAAACGTTAAAGACTGCCCGATTAGTTCTCTAATGGAAAAAAATGGCTCAACCTTGCCCTATGAGTCGGATTGAAGCACAAGGACAGCGCAGCGACTGTATTTATACAAAACCTGACGTCACCCTATCGTCACATCTCTACACAGGCTGTAGGTTTCGTTACTGTTGGTTTTGTTTTTTCAAAACACTTTCCTGCGATTTTCCCCTGGTGGATTTCGAATATTTTTTTTCCGAAAAAAAATAACACAGTCCCGTTATCAATTTATCGCTTTGAAAACATAAAATAACCGACATATTGTAGGGTATGTCCACCGTTTCGTTATGCTGCGCCAGAACCCCAAACGTTGTAAGAAAGTGGCGGATTTAATTTCTCTATTAACAAAAACAGACTGGTTTCCTTTGAAGACCTGGTTCACATTTAGAGAGGGTGCTTTTTTTTGTTGTTTTCTTTTTAATTGTTTTTTACTCTGGGGAAAATTCCAGTCGATTCCAGTAGCGTTTGCCCGGAACTAAAGTCATGGAGCTGCTTTACAATTAACAGCTTAGTGAGGAACAATACAAATAAATAAAAGATCCTTTGCCCATCTTACAGTGCTGGAAACTGAGTACTCAGCTGATCCTTTCTCAGCGTGAGCTTTGAGGAATCATTTTGACTCCTTATTGGAAGAAAAAAATCATTTCTAAAAGTAAAACTCCAGCTATTAGCTTTAAAGCTAATAACCCCTGAAGACTCTGCAGCATGAAGAAAATGACAGGAATGTTCCCAATTAGGAAACCAATAGTGACTGATGATGATCTTCAGTTTTCAAATGAAAAGAATTTGCCTTTCACCAGGTATGATAAGACACACCTGACCTTAACATTATCCATGTCACAAAAACTTTTCAGTGCACCAGTATGCGTTCTGATAGTGCACAGTATTTATTCTGAAGTTATTCACAAGAGACTTATTTCCAGTGTGACAACCAATTTTCCTGATGTGTGCAGACACACTTACTATTCCTGTAGTATGGAAAACCTCCTATGTTCCTATAATCCTAGACCAGACCCGTCCCCAAGAAAGCCTGTCATAGAGAACAAAGTGATTTCAGGCCAGCTGCTCTTGCGTCAGAATTGATGGACTCATTGGAGAGGATCTTGGCTGAGGATGTCTCCCAGTCAGTTAATGGTAAACATGATCCAGATCATCAGTTGGCTTAAAAACAGGTAAAGGATAGAGGATGCTGTCATACCCTTCATTCATGTGAATGTCACTCTGCAACTCCCAGCTGGCCAGCCACTGAAGCTAAGCAGGTGTGAGCCTGGTCATTACCTGGATGCGAGACTCCTGGGAAATACTAAGGTTGCTGCTGGAAGAGGTGTTAGTGGGGCCAGCAGGGGGCGCTCACCCTGCGGTCCATGTGGGTCCTAATTCCCCAGTATAGTGACGGGGACACTATACTGTAAACAGGTGCCGTCCTTAGGACACTCCACTTAAAGTGCTTTACAGGTAATGGGGATCCCCTCCACCACCACCAGTGTGCAGCCCCACCTGGATGATGCACCAGTACTCTCCCCACACACCAGCTCTCAGTGGGGAGGGGAGCAGAGTGATGGAGCCAGTTCATAGATGGGGATTATTAGTAGTTCATGATTGATAAAGGCCAATGGGAAATTTGGCTAGTAGGCCTGGGTTACACCCCTATTCTTTTCGAGAAACGCTTTGGGATTTTTAATGACCGCAGAGAGTCAGGACCTCGGTTTGACGTCTCATCCGAACCCGTTCACAGGTTGTGGTGAGCTGTGTGGATTCCTGCAGGACTGGTGCAGAATGACAGTGTATGCGTTGTTATCTTTTATGTCATGTTTTTATTTATTTTGAGTGTAAAGTGGATACGTACTGTCTGTAGAGCGTTCGTAAGTCTCTGTGTTGTGGAAAACATACCTGGCAGAAGAAGTTTCGGAGAAATGCTGTTCGGAGAGAGCAGAGTACGATTCTGTCATAGCATATTGTATCCCATCATTCCACCCGATGTGCAAAGTCATGCTTTTTTTCTTACGTTGTGTCCTTCACCCCTCCCCTTTACCCTTCACCTGCAGTGGGGTCAGTCGCTAGGCAGGGCCACAGCACCAGCAGGGGGCTGAGTATGCTGCCTGAAGGGCGAGTCATCCTGTCGTGCTGTGGACAGCGCGTTCCCTTGTCAAGGTGGAAGGCGAAGACGGGACACTGGCCTGTTTCACCGTCACGGGGCAGGGGGCATCTGACCCCCGGGGCAGCAGAGAGAGGCCACTGTGTGACTGAGATCCCGGGATAAAACTCTTCCCTTTCCTTTTGTCTGTCTTTCCCTGCCCCCCCCCAGACTCCCAGAAGGTCACACGATCAGCTGGCTTCGTGGATGTGTTCCCCTGGAATGTGAAACAAAAGAACACCCAACTGGGGCAGCCTCAAAACTGAAAGCCTTTTTTCCATACTGCCTTTACTTGTGATAACTCTCTGGGTTCACGCATCCGTCTGTGTGGAGCTTGCGTGTTATCTCCAGCAGGTGAATATCAGGTTTAAGTGGCTGCTCTACACTGTGCCCCCCCCCCAGGTGCAGGGCAGCCCCAATCCCTCATTTTCCTTGAGAGTGGCTTTCATGCCTTTCTCCCATACAGCCAATTTCTGATTCTGGGCCACCCAGACAGATACTTTATTTTATCAACAAATATCTTTTTCAAATTGTTTTTGAGCTTTAAAATGGACCTGATAACCCCCAGGGACCCGTATCCCGGCAGTCTGAGATGTGTGTTGCTGTGAGATAATGTCACGTCTCAATGAAGCTGAGAAGGCTATTCATCCTCCGGAACAGAAAAAATAGCAGTCAGTCATCTTCTAGAGTGTGTTTTCTTTCTTAGCAATCTGTCCTTATATAGATTTCCAGTAATCAAGCATGGCAGCAAGGAATCTGATGCTCTCGACAGGGCATACAGTGTTTATACATGAACCCTTGGTTATTGGCAAAATGATCACGTCATAAGTCATAGTCTGACCATCCTGGGGAATATACTCATTATATCTTTTCACTACGGTAAGTCTGCGGGTGAGGGAGTTTGGCTGACACCAGTACTCTGCAGAGTGTTTAAGAAAGAAATACGGTGCAAACGGTCTCTATTTCTGTAAGTTCCTGAAAGTTTACCACAATAAATCTACCCAAGGGTTCACAGTTTTCCCATGTTTTCCCCATGTCGACAGTGTTGTCTTGGTGCGGCTTTTATGGTTGTGTCATTGAATGCTCTATCTGTTTTCCCATGGTTTGGCTGAGCCTAACTTCATTTTACTAAACTTTTAAAGGGATATCAAATATCACCTTTAACAAGGAGACCATTGTGCAGTGCGGAACTGTAAGCCCGAGCCTGTAACTATAACTCCTGCTTATTAATGGCAGATATATTTGTATACTGTATACATCTTATATGTCCATGCAATTGCACAATCTCCCATTATTTCAAGTCTCAGGTCTGCAGTAAGGCAGTAATGTTTCTTGAACCCATTGAAGAGAGGCGTGTAGACATGCTCACCTGCACAGCCCCTTGACTCACGCCAACGTCCACTGCGCCTGACAGGAGAGTGAGTGCTGATTGGAGGAGTGGAGCATCCTGCGCTGACATCACAGAAGCACATGGTTGGGAAGGGATCTGTCAAGTAGCAGGAGTGGATGCTATCCCAGAAGCCTAGAGAGAGGCTGATGAAGCCAATACCAGGTCCCACTCAGCCTGTCCTGCGCCTGTACATGGAGGGATGGACAGTGACAAGACTGATGTCTGGGCCGTGGCCTCCAGAAGAAAAATATCTTTCAGTTTCGTGTACTAAAATGTTATTGGAGGAAGAGCTCTCTTTTTTGGAGGTTAAGGAGGGTCCCACAAACGTCGGCCTGCCCACTTTCCTAAATCCCAGCTCACCTGAAGCTGACACATCACGATGTGCCACTGTCAAGCTTCACCTGTGGGATGAGTCCTGCAGGCCCTCTCTTCTGAGGCCATCAAGCCACTGCCTAACTTTCAATGGATCTGCCATCGATAAGAACATAAGAATCTAAGTCACAATACGAAGCCAATAGCCTCACATACAGTAGCTTGCTTGGGTGCCAATAGCTAACTAATCCAAGGATCTCATCCAGTCATTTCTTGAAAGATGCCAGGGTATTAATGTCCACTACATGGCAGGGTAGTTCGTTCCAGACTTCCGCCCCCCCTTTGTGTAAAGAAGTGCCTCCTGTCCTGCTCGGAGGATCTCTTCCAGTCATTTCCTGAACGGGGACCAGGGTATCATTTTACACTGCACGGCCTGTTCCAGACTCCCACCACTCTCTGTGTAAGGAAACGCCTCTTGGTCTCCGTTTTAAATGAACGTCCTTGCAGTTTCCCTGTGCCCTGTGCCATCTAGTTTGTGGTTTTTATGATTGATTCTGCGAGCGGTAAGAGGAATGGGGAGGCTGTTCCAAACTGTGAAGATACAGTATCTATATATAAAGAAATAAATATTTTGTCAGCCATCGATGATCAGTTCTAGTTCCCTCCCAGTAAAAGTACAGACAATTGAACAGAAGTCGTTCATGTTATCTTGTCGGAAGGACGTGTTGCTGAACCCTGACACATGGCCAGATCACAGACTGGGACATTCGCTAAAGATCAATTTTTCTTTCTCTTTCTTGGGAATGCAGTTTTGATCTTTTCACATCATTCTGGATTACTGACCTCATCACCCCCGCCTTCCTGGAGATACAGTACGTCATCAGAAGGAACTGGGATCGTTTTGATTGATGCCTGTCTGGAGTTTGAACATGACCCCCCCCCTGCTGCTGAGAGATAGGAGCGCCAGGAATTTAGATAAGGGGTTTGCTCAAACAGAGAACACAATGTGGGAATTTGATTGCATACCATTTTCATTATCAGTCCAATGACATAATCTCAGAAAAGTACAAAGTGTTCCTGGGGCAGGGCGCTCAGGCACAGTGGAGTGGCCTGAAACAGCCTCAGCATTCATGAAGGGAAACTGGGATCTACATAAAGTGTAAAGCACTACAGAGGCCTTTTGGTGCTTCAGCAATGATACACACCTTTACAGCACCGTATTCTTCTTACTGCTAGTAGTGATAATATGGCTCTGTGGCTAAGGATCAAATCCTGTGGCCAGCAGAGGAATATTACTTCATTGGGCCCCTGAGCAAGGCCCTTACCCCCAGCTGCTCCAGTGGTGCTGTATAAATAGCTAACCCTGTGCTCTGACCCCAAGCTTCTCTCTCCCTGTCTGTGTGTCTCATGGAGAGCAAGCTGGGGTATGTGAAAAGACACATTCCTAATGCAAGGAATTGTTTAGGGCCAATAAAGTGATCTAATCTTATCTTAATATGTTTCATACATGTTGTTATCTAAGGTGACTAACAATCTCATGACCTTGCTCAATTAAAGGAGTGGAATTGTTGCAATGGTATTACTAATAGGAAATGATACACTCAGAAAATAAAAAAAGGACACACACTAAAAGTCAATAAGTCAATGGAAATCAATCAGAAACAGTTATGAAACCTGTAGGAATTTAAAGTCCTTTACAGATTATCGAACTCTGTCTGGATGCAAGGCTGTTTTTGTGCTAAAATGCTGACAGAGTTTCATCAATCACAGTGGAGTACTGCATATTGCAAACATGGAAACATGGGTTTCAGTAACCTTATAGAAGATTATAGTGGAAAAGAGTACAGGCGTGTCTGCAAGTTTCCATTCCAGCAAGCCTCTTAACGACCCCAGTCTGCACATCATTGACTTAATTGGACCAATTTACCAGCTTCTCCCAGCTCTACGACCGGAGAAAAGAGTCGGCAGAGTCACTTTGCTCTGCCTGTGTATCCGGATGCGGACGGAATCAGGTTTTGGAAGCACTGTCCCGGAACCCCTGCTTCACAGGAGAGGTGCGCGGTTTCCTGGGACATTTCCAAAAACCCAAAAGGAAGGGGGGGGTCCTTTACAGGTCATGGGGATCCCCTCCACCACCACCAGTGTGCAGCCCCACCTGGATGATGCTCCAGTCCGCCCCCCACACACCAGCTCTCAGTGGGGAGGAGAGCAGATTGATGAAGCCAGTTCAGAGACGGGGGTTGTTAGGAGGCCATGACTGGTAAAGGCCAGGGGGGAATTTGGCCATGACGCCGGGATTACACCCCTACTCTTTTCATGAAACTCCCTGGGATTTCTAATGGCCACAGAGATTCAGGACCTCAGTTTTACATCTCATCTGAAGGACAGGGGCTTTTTACAGTACAGTGTCCCCATCACTATACTGGGGTATTAGGACCCACACAGACCACAGGGTGTGGGCTCCCTACTGGTCCCACTAACACCTCTTCCAGCAGCAGCCTCAGCTTTCCCAGGAGTCTCCCCTCCAGGTACTGACCAGACTCACACCCGCTGAGCTTCAGGGGGCTGCCAGCTGGGAGCTGCAGGGCGATACAGCCGCTGGCCAGAAACGGCACATCACAGTCCAGAAGAAACAGCAACAGCAAGACGATCTCAACAAATCCAAGCTGCAGGGATGATTCGAACGTGTGCAGAGGGAGGATGTGATGTGATGTGAGCTTGTCGTCCTTCAAGCTAGAGGCGCTCACCCTAAAATCACCACCCTTGAAAGCCCAGAAACACCTCGGTTTAGAACGGTAAAGCAGGTTCAAAGTTCAGGGAGTTAGGGGCCATCTGATATGATGGTTCTAACAACTTGTAGCTCTCAGGGCTCCTCTGTACACTGAGCCAGATGCTGAATTGACTTTAACTCATGTTTTTGACAAGCTGTTGACGTCTGTCTTCTAGTCTCTGGAAGTTGGGTGATTTCATTGCTGGCGGGGGCCGGGATGGAGATAGTTAAATAACTCCATTTATTTTGTGTCTTTCAGAAGGACATCGCAGGCTGATATCTGCTTCTGAGCTCGGCAGCCTGTTTTCTGTTGTTGTTTTTGTTTGGTAAACACGAGCTAGGCGGCAAAGAACACAGTCCAGCGGTAGTTAAGCAAAAACAACATTTAGTAACAGTAATTGTTTACCAATGAAGTCATGGTTACTAAATAAAACCGACAATTCGAGTGATTAGTTTGTTTTTTTAATCAGCAGAGGAGGTTCTAAGAACTGTTCGTGAAATTTCCAGAAATCCCCAGAGCCCGGCCGCAAACGCGCTGCGCTGACGCGGGTCACAACAGGAACGCGCATCTCTCCTGACATCTAGCGGACATATTGTGATACTACAAGTCTCCACCTGGTGTGTGTGTGCCCTGTGATGGACTAGAGTCCTGTCCAAGGGGGTGTCCTGCTTTGCGCCCAGTGCTTGCTGGTTCAGCCTCCAGCTCCCCCACCACCCTGTACTGGATGGTGATGTATTTGAAGTTGAAGACGAACCTTATATTGAAGGATCCAAGGAAATCTCACTTCAACAACACAGCTGGGCAGCTTGTTCCAGGCACCTGCTACCCTTCCTGTAATGCTGCATCAAGAACACAGGACCCCCTCGCTTGACGACATGTGTCACGTACTGGAGAAAAAAAACATTCACTATGCAGTGGCCAGGTTCTGAATGTTAAAAGGCCCCTGAACGGAAATATGCCATAGTGTCCTTAATAAAAGCCAGGTATGTCCTGGACGAGCTATCCAAATCTGAAATGCATTTATTGTTATGACGAACGGCACCTGCATCATGACAACAGAAGCTCCCCACACACCGTTCCAATTAATGTAAAACTTTATTTCAAATACAGACGAAAAAAATGCTTTTTCCTCTTCCCGCGTTTTCTATTATACATTTGCGCCTTTTGTTTAAATTAACCCCCCCCCTCCTGACTCAACATCCATGTTCTAACCTGACACATAAAGCCCATGTTAGCAGACATCTGCACCTCTCAATCCTTATCATCCCCGACAGGCGCAAGGCTGGAGTTAGGTTAGGCTGGGGGAGGGGGGGTTGTTGTATGTTTTTGCTGTAAATCTTGGAAATTTCACGACGGGAGAAACAAGGTGACTGTGCAATTGCATTCTGCTAGCCAGCGGTCAGGCCCGAGGACGACTCTGCTTTTCCCACGAACGGGAGAAGACGGTGGTCTCGGCCCACATCGCACACACCCTGCACCTTGGGTCTACACCAGCCCGTCCGCTTCCAAATTTCCCCGGCTAGCAGCTGCGGTCACAGCTGTACAAAAGGAACAAAAAGTGCCTTAAATCTGTCGTTATGTGTACCTAGTTCTTCGATCTGAGTTGCAGCCCTTTCATTTAATTTCTTCGTCATGTGTAAACCAACAGCAGCCCTCCTGAGCCATGCGGGACAGGGACTCAACCCCCCCCGTGCAGCCAGAGAACAGAATCAGCTATCAATTAGAGGTTGAGCCGTCTGGTGGCGTCTGGAGAGAGCAGCAGAAAGAAGCGAATGAGGTGTGAGCCAGTTTGAAACTGTATAAAAGTGCATGCCAGGAGAACTCAGATTGGCTGTTTTTTTTATTTTTGTTATCGTTGCTTCACCATGCGAAATCACAATCACAAAATTAAAAAAGGCTCCTTAAAGCGACATACCAGGGGTTAAAGTGAGGGGACGCGCATCATCGTTGCACCTGACAAGGTGCGTTACTGACTGCCTTCCTCACATGCACTTCCTGGTTATCTGCTCTGAAAAGTCTTCCTAGAGGCTGTTATTTAGCTTTGTTGCCAGAACAGACAGGGCAAACTGAGCTTTTAAGCTAAATCGGCAAAACAGCATTACATACAGTGCACGTCACTGCAGGAGACCAGAAGGTAAATCAAGAGGACATCTGAAGTAAACGCCTATGGGTTCTCTCACACCCCCGTTGCCTGCGAACTCTGAATGGCGGCATTAAGATATTGGAGATGAAGGGCAACTTAAAAGCCGACGGGGGTGTGCATGTCAAATCTGACACATTTCCCTACGAGATTCACACAGTGCACCCCTGTCCTCCATGCCCCTGGACACCGTCAGGGAGTTAAAGCACTCTGTATACAATGGTGCACTATGGGAAGAGCTCAGCCGGCTTGAAACCACCTCCAGGTCACCGGCCTGTAGGCGAGGCTTGGCGGCTCTCTTACCGCTCGTCACTGGCCGTCAGACGAGTTCTGCTATTCCCAACAACTGGCTTTTCCACCCAAAACAGCTCCAAGGAAACTGGCTTCTCCGCACACGTTGCTCAGTGGGGGAGAGGAGAGAATGAAACCGCGATAACTGACAGGCCTCCAGACTGGCTTCGCTCTCCACAGCCCGGGCAGCACCCAGGATCTGAGGGCGCCCCCCCCACCCCACCGGGGCGGATGACTGCCTGCCGAGCGCGACACACGCAGGGGCAAACCGGCCCAGAGGGGAGCAGGGAGCCCAGCACGGATCAAGCACCAGGGGGCGCCGTCGCCCCCTCCAGGGAGGCCAAAAGGCCCACCGGCCGAGACTCCTGCTCTGCGGGGAAGAGTGGGGAACCCACCAACGCCAAGGAGGACAGGAAGCAAGGAAGAAGCCTCCCCCGGCAGCCGAACGCGCCGGGAAAGAAAAGCACGAGAGGAGTTTTCCTGGAGACATCGGCCGAGGAAAAAAGACAAAAAAACAAAAACAAAAACAGAAGAGTGTGCAACTATTTACAGGACGACCGCAGCCAGGAACCGAGCATATCACGGTATTGTACAAAAGGAGAAGAAAAAACAAAAAAATCAGTGTGTGGGGAGGCAACACAGCAAATGCAAAAACGTGCACACTCCCCACACGGAACAGGACTTCTTTTTCCTCAGTCAGTCTCGGAGTGGTTCCCAACCCTGGGACAAGGAACCATGGTTTAAACAGGTGGCCCCTCTGAAGCACAGGCTCTACTGCTCTGCCCTCTAGTGGAGTGTTCCGGTAATGCAGGGCCTGTCAAACATGGCACACAGGCTTCTACAGCGAGCTGGAAGATAGAAATGCGAATGTACAGCCTGGTTCGGGTCATGCGCATCCCCAAAAACCTCTCCCTTGAGCAGGCGGTCCATACGGCAAAGCAGTCTAAGAGAACTCTTTTGCCATGAGTTTTATTTCAGCTTCAGGTTCAGAACTGATCAGAGGCCATTCTTGCTCAATAACTCGCGCTGCAGGGCAGATGCGCAGGCAGCGGCTTTATTCTAAAAAAATACTCCCAGTATTCCTCCCCTCCTCCTCCTTTTCACTGGTGCAGAGTAACCCGCCCTTTCCACCTCGCGCGACAGCAAGACGGGGTTGTCGGGGACCACAACGCTCATTCACCCCTATTGCCTCGGAGCACCAACTCCTTCTACCTCCGGACCGATGGCATCACACCACTCAGAGATCCACAGCTCGCTCCTGCGGGGTGCGAAACACAGTGCCGATCGTGTCACACTCACCCCTCCCTGCCCCTGGAAACTGTGATATGTGCGAGTCTAGTGTGTGTCAGGGGGCAGGGGGGTGGATTTATAAAGCCCATGTGGGCCCATTCCCGGGGGATAACGGCGGTGTTGATCTATTTGTCAGTTTGGCGCGACGCTCAGGAGGGTCTGACCTCTGCGGCCGGGATGCTGCCCTGAGGTCAGAAGGGGGCGCAGGATCCCAGCAGCCTCTCCAGCGACAAAAAGATAAATAATCGGACAACGCCGAAAAAACAGGAAGCAGAGGCTGGGGTGGGCTGCGGCAAGTTGGCAGAGAGCTCCCGATTTTCCCCCCAATATGCCCACCCACCCGCTAAATCCAAACTCCGTGCCCGAGCTCGGCTTTTCCTCTTGGGAAAGTCTACCTAACGGGAACGGAAGATCCAATGATGATCACGCACACTCTCCCTCCCGCGATCCAGACCTGAGCCATCATCAGGTCATGCTCTTCCTCGGTCTTAATAACAGGCTCCACAAGACGCTATTTGATTTGGCCACTGGATAATTCCCCCCCCTTCAAACTGGAGCTCATCTCAACGAGTCTTTACTCATAAATTAAAGCCCTCGCTTTGCAGAGTTTCACTCGGGATCTCCTCGTTTCCAAGGACTTCCCCTTCAGGGAAACGGAAAGCAAGGTGGATTTCTTGGAATGAGACGGGCTGAACCACATCACTGCTGAGGTTCTAGATTTAAAGCCGAGACGGGACCAGACGATTTACAAAGAACACCACCATGAGTTCTATCTCACCTGGGTCGGGTCAGCACGTCTCGAGAACCCAAGCTGGGTAAACGCATTAGACTCAAAGGCGTTATCCCCGAAGGGCTTGAAAATGACAAAGCAAACTGATATGTCAACCCAAGCTTAGGATTAGATCTAAGTCAAAACACACTGGCGTCTTTTCAAGCCATGTAAATCATATTAAAAAACGAAAATTCAAAATATAACAGCGCTATGAACTTTCCTTTTATATTTAGGTTCTTAAAAACCAGCACAATACATCATCAGAAACCCTCTTTATGTTTTTTTTTAGCAAAGTCAACTTCCAGGGTGTTGGACAAGACAAGTCCCCAGAGAGTCAAGCAGTCTTTTGTAGCACAGATGAGACAGGAAAAAGACTCCCAGAACGCTCTCATCCATCAGAACCTTCTGATCCCAACGGACAGCCAGGAAACATGGGGATAAGGGATTCAGGGGGGATGCTGGGGGAGCAGGAGTTCAGTTAGCAAGGAGTCCCTGACCCAGGACAGAAGATGTGTAGAGTGTGGAGCCACAATCCAGACAGCACGCAGTCCCACTTAACCAGAAGCAGCCAGGGGAGGCAGTGGGGAGAGGGATAACAGCAGCCCAGCACCTTTTCTGGAAAGGCCACCAGCACACTCCGTCCGGGCTCTTCGGATTCACCCCGGGATCAAAGGGTCACTTCCAGCCGGCCGAGCTTCCGATTCCTTCAGCTCCCGTTCTGATCCATTTCCTCTTTGCCCCAGCCCGGCCCCCGGGACGCAGCCTGGCAGGAGCCGGAGGAGGAGTGCTGGGGGTTCGCCTTGCCCTGGGCCCACACCAGGCCGCCAGATCGCGGTGCTGCTGTCAGGGGTGTGTGCGGTGGGGGGGGCATAGGGTGAGGATGGGAAGGTATGGGGAGGTCGAAGGTCGAAGGGGAGGGGGCGTTGCCTTGTCGCTGTTTAGGGCTGTTTACTCCTCTCCAGAAAAGGCAGCATTAGGAACAATGCTCTTCCCAGTGACCCTAGTGACCCCAGTGACCTCCAGAACTGTCCAAACGCCCCCTTTTTAAAAAAAACACTTCCAGAGCCCCCTGGGATACGTACTCCTGAGTTACAGAGCCATCAGAGGCCCCTCACCCTCCTCTTCATCAGCCATACACAAGCCTTCGTTCACTAACAGGCACAGAACACCCCCCCAAATCTGTAACTTCCCTTCTCCAGATCCAAAACAATCAGCTCCCGGGCTCCACGAGCAGACAGGGAAGACAAGACTCCCCTCCTTCAGAAAGTCCCCAAAGCTGGGGGTTAAGAGTTTATTCTCCTTTTCAAGGCATTCATTTTTACAAGCCTGGGAGATAAAATCAAATTCTTCTGGGCCTAGCTACATCACCGCGAAAGGAAAAAAATTGGACACCACAGGGGTGCGGGGTGGGGAGTGGGGGGTATCAAGGATCACATCCCAAAGGAATTTCACTCCGACATCCGGCCAACGTTAGAATCCTGCGAAGGATCCGATCAACAGCTCCCTTGTCGATTCCATTAAAAAAAAAAAAAAAAGAGAGCGCTTGCATTCCTGCCGCCACTTTGCAGGGCTCTCAGCCCTCCTGCGTTTCCCCCAACATCCGCCCTCCTCGTTCCCACATCCCTGCTGAGGCTTTTACAAAAACACTTCGCTCGGGGCGGGGAAAAAAATACTACACTGGACGAGAGGAATCAGCCTCCCCCCCTGTCCTCCTGTCGAGTCTCGAAAGCAGCTCTTGATCCCCACACCCCCCCCACCCCCCGTCAGGAGACTGGAACACCCTCCACAGGGATCCTTTCGGCAAATTCGGGAAATATAGTGTTGCTTGATGCCGTAGGGAAGGGGGGAGGTGGGGGGGGATGGTTGGTCAGCCAAGCATGCATTAGTGTGTCGGTCTGGCCTGCCCTCACCAAGGCACCCGGCACCCCAAGACCTGGGGCCTGCTTACAACATGGAGGCGTCGAGTGAGAGTTTTGGGGGGAGCTGCACTCTTTCTCGCCCCACCTTCCCTCCGCTCATCTTCTGCACCACCCCTAAAAACCCAGTGCAGCGCATGCACCTCCAGAGCATGCCCCCCACACCCCCACCACAACGCCCCAGGGAAGCCTGGCAGTGGACAGAGGGAGATGGCGAAGGCGAGGGGGCGAAGGGGGGGGGAGGAGGAGTGTGCAGGGGGGGGAGGACGGGGGGAGGGAGGGAGGGAGGGCAGGGGCTCCTGTTAGCCCGCCAGCTTGCTGGTCACCAGCGAAGACTTCCTCTGGGGCAGGTCCTGCGGCGTGGGAATGTGGTCGCCCGTCACCAGGTTCTTGTCCGGCCCGGCCGCCGGCAGCTGCTTGTTCTTCATCTTGGCTTTGGCCATGTTGTAGTCGCCCGAGTCGAAGTACTTTTGCTGGAAAGGCAGGAGGCAGCGGGGGGAAAAAAAAAGAAAAAAGAATGATGACATTGAAAGGGGGCCGGAGTCTTGGCCAGAATCAGGGGTCCCTGCGGCCCAGGTCCAGTCCTGGAGAGCTGGTGCGTCTTTAGGGTTTCTCTAAGGGTCTATTGACTCTCTGCGGGTCTCCAGAACCAAACGACGAGCTCTGGGTGACCAGGCCTTCTCTGTCTTTGCTCCTCGCTTGTGGAACAGCTTCCCCGATCATCTCGGACCAACAGCTTCAACTGAGACCTTCAGCCCAGCAGGCCTGTCAACTCCCAACACCATGATTACCTGTAGCTTTCCTTCTTAGAAATGTTTTAAGGTCCTTTACTCTTCTAGCTTTTTTTTTTTATTTTGTATGTGAAGCACACTGAGATTAACAGCAATGAAATGTGCGATGTAAGTGAAAATAGATTATTTGAAAGCAGCAGCACCCAAATGTCTGGAAACGGGCGATAAACTGGTCCCATTAAGCTGATAATGAGCAAAATTAGGTCTTTAAGAGCGGAGCTGGAATGAAACTGTCCGGACATATCGGCCCTCTGGGAACAAAGCAGGACCAATCTGTACAGGGGAGGAGGGTACGAACGCCCGCTGTGTAGCATCTTATTCCACTACTGGTGTTTGCAACCCACAGAACCTTTACTAAGGAACCAGAAAAGGGCAACATTTGTTTTTGTTGTTTTTTTTTTAACTCACAGATCTTAACATGGGGCTTCACAATAAACCAGAACATCAGCCAAGATCCGGCAGCTCGTGAGACGCGAGGCAGATCCTGCTGCAGGCATACGGGAGTGTGACGGGCTCCTTTCTCTGTCCATCACGCTTTCCTGTCTGCTCCTTCTCGGCTCTCTTTAAACACACCGTCACTTCCCAGGCTCTGTTCTGCGCTTTAGCTCCTGGCCACATGCACAAGCAGCTTCTGTCCTTCTCCTGCCGCCTCAGCAGCCTCGCCGAAGGCTGAACGGGAGAACGTGTTCGCACGGGAAACGGCAGCGTTACACGATGTTCTGGTGCCCAGGTGCAACGCTGGGGGTATACAGGCCTGGACTGTGCAGGTACCCTGTCTACCAACCTTCTACAGGCTCTTCATAAGAAAGCTTGCACTCACACCCCCCCCCTCATATACCCCTTTCTTGTATTGATTTCAGGAGGAAGATGGCACTCATACCCCCCTCACTTACCCCTTTCTGTAGTCTCTTCATGAGGAAGTCGGAGCCCCCAGGTTTCTGGCCCAGGTTGGGGTACTTGGCTTTCAGCTTGGCCTCTTCTGCCTTCACTGGGTTGGAGTCCTTCTCCTGTGAATCCTGTCCAGCCCAAGAGACACAACCGTGTGAGAGGGGGTCTGTCTGCAAGACGGCCTGCTCTGGGGTCCGCTCGAACTCGTACGGTTCAAGCACGCGCCGGGGGGGGGTTTCGAATTTCGACCCACCCCTCTGCCCCAGGCCAGGAGGGCTGCTGCAAGTTCAGCCCCTTGAGTCTCCCTGCAATCCCCGAGTGTCAGCTCACTCCTACATCAGGCTCCCGTGATATGGCTGGAGGGCCACTCCTTTGCACCAAGAGTGGTGGGAGTGTGGAAAAGCTACTCAGCCTGTCTTCTTTCAAGAAACAGCTGGATGAGACGTTGAGATCACTTACCTATTAACTACTAAAACGGGCTGGATGGGCTTGAAATTAGCCTCCTCTCGTTTGTACCCTTTCATAAGTTCTAAGGAGACATCTGCATATTTCTCCATATGCACCCCCAGTAGGGTGTGGCTTTCAGTTTTTAAGCTGAACCCCAGGTCTATGTCCCGATACAGGACCACTCCCCCACCAAGAGCACAGAACTATGGCTTTCAGTGTAGGGGGCTGATCTCCAGGGCTGCAGCTGGAGAATGCAGGGGGAGTGGATCTGAGAGACCTGCAGTTAAGCTCAATTTCTGAGCGTCTTGTGTTGGCGTCAAAGCAATGCGGGTTCAATACAGTCTAGGGATGCGCCGATATGGAATTTCTGGTCCGATAGCGCTAATCGATAATTAACAGCTTGTTGTGGCCGATACAGATACCGATAACCGGTAATGACTTCTTCGCATTTTAAAACAAGTTCACACTATAATCCACGGCTGATGTGTAATGAGGGCAAGAAAGCTAAAACTCTGTAATGATTGATCATTGATTAAAAAATTGGTGTAAACACCACCAACATTTTCACTCTGCAGCAGCTGTACTGGACCCAGTTGAGTGCGTCAGCGCGCGCACATAAAAAAACACTAGTTGCACAAACACAAATAGGGCGCCGCATGATCAGTTTTAATGATCAGCTATAATTCCAATATAGGAACAATAATAGTAATTAAGTTTTCCTATTTATCAGAGAATATAATCGGCCTCCGATACATTGTGAACCCCATAGACAGTCTCTTGAGACAGATTGTGTTGGTTCAGCGTTGAAGACTCAACCAGTTACAAACAAGGGTTGGAGCACCGAAAATAAGAGAGTACTCTGTCTGCATGAACCTGCTTGTATGCAACTAAAAAAAAACCCAGGCCTTTTAGAGAGTGCTTCTCTGACATCTCCCTCCCAACTCGCTTCCTCACTCATAGTGTCCCGAGTTGCAGCTATGCTCTTCCAAGAAACAGGGCTGCCTGAGATCCTTAAAAGACCACGTGTAACATTGAGAACAGAAGCACAGATTGTTGTCACTGTTGCTTTACTGCAAGTCTGTGTAAAAAGAATTTAAAAAAAACCCTAATGAGAGGCTAAAGTCGAGTCTCTGGCCTCAACATTTTCCTCCTATCACCTTCCTTTTCCTGCACTGAGATGCACATGACCAGGAATCTGGAGTCACCCCAGTTCAGACCCTGCGCTTGTTCAAGAAATCATTCTGCACTTCCAGAGCAATAACACATCAGAACAGGGGCGTCCAGCTCCTGTTCTGGAGGTCCGGTCTGTGTGTCTGCTCTTCCAGGCCTCTGTAAGGCAGCAGCATCACCAGCTGTGCTGGAAGAAGCTGTTGATCCGGTCCAGTCAGGCCAGTAACCTGCTGCAATGGCTCACCGAGAGCCGAGCTGGAATGAGAACCTGCAGCAGCTCTCCAAGAGCAGGACAGAACACTCTGGCTTTAGAAGCACAGCAGGTCCCAGGTGGGTGAAGGCAGAGCAGATCTGTCCACAGCAGTGACGATGGACTAAATAACATGAAATCGGAGGTGAAAAGTTGCTCTTTGTTTCTGCCCCTACCTCCCCCACCCCCAAAAAAACTATCTCTGGAGGAACCAGTGCAGGGGTGTCCAACCCTGGTCCTGAAGTCCAGTGAGTCTGTAGGGTTTCTAAGTCTATTTGAAGCACCAGCACCTGCAGAGCTGGGAGAAGCTGTTCACTTGGTCCAATGAAGCCAATAACAAGCTGACTGACCTCATGAAAACTGGAACGCAAACGTGGACTGGCCCTCCTGGACCAGGACTGCCCGCCCTTCACCACAGTGTCATCAGCACCCCAGACACACTGACTAATGCTCCGAAACAGGGTTTTACTTTCTACCGATATTATTTCTCACCACTGTTACTTTGCACCACCACACCTGTGATTTCAAGACATCGATGCACCCTGGCCAAATCGAATCCCTTAGAAACCACGCACCCCCCACCCCAGCACACCAACTTTCCTATTTCTGACCCCAATCTTCTCTCCCTGTCTGTCTCTCTCATGGAGAGCAAGCTGGGGTCTGCGAAAAGACAAATTCCTAATGCGAGAAATTGTATAGGGCCCAATAAAGTGATCTGATCTTATCTAATATTTCTGCTGACAGCAAACGTGAATTCAGCCACCCTAAGTGAGGACGGTGTGAGCTTTGCTGAGGTTCATGGTGGTGATAACCGGATAACCCTTTCGGCGGACGCAACAGCGAAGGGGTAGCGTTTTGAGAAGCCTGTCAGCAAAACGACACAGACTGATCCGTCGGCTCGCCGGTTTTGTTGAACGTTTCGCCGAGATGTGGTCAACTCCTTCGCAGCTAATCGGGTGACGCTGAAGCAGCAGGAACACAAAAAAGGCGGCCTGTCGTGAGTGTCGTGTATTTCACAGCGTAAGTCACATTTGTATACACAAATTCCCCGACGTCGGCGACTGCAGATCTAATTGTGTGATCGCAATCTGTGTCATAAATGTTTAAGAGCGTTTTCGGTTTTTATTCCGATGCACGGATTGAGAAGTGACGTTTCAGTGCAATGTCCTTTACTTAGGAAGATAAAACGATGGCCTTAGGATCTCTCCTACACATTTTACAACGCCTTAATCACTTTAGGGCGTATAATCCTTTTGCCTATAAAACAGCGATGTTATACAACTACACACACACATATATACACACACTGTATAAGCTTATACAAGCTCTCATTTAGAGGTCAGGTGAGGTTGCTAACAACACTTTCTCAGAAAAGGCTAAGATATTAATAAGTGTCACATGCATCAACAGCAGTCATCCAAAAACTTGGACCTTGGCTTTGGCACAATAAAATGATGTTTGCACATCTTAGTGAATTCCTCCTCATACGCGTTATAGTTTGTTCTGTCAAGACAAAATGACGCAATTGTAGCGAAGACAATATTGTATATTTTTAATTTATACGGCTTTCATTCTCCTCTGAACTTTACTGAATTAGACATAAAGGATTTCGAAAGACCGTCGACAATTAATATAAATATTTAATATATTCTGATCTCCCTAAACCCACTGTTTTTTTTTACTAACACAACCGGAAAAGGTGCCTCGCACCCCAACAACACAATCAGCCAATGGGGTCGCACAACACGCTTAACCGACAGCAGCAGTAGCCAATTGGGACGGGGAAAGCCCGAGAAAGAAGGTGGGATTTCCGAGTTTAGCCCAAGTGAAAAAAAGGCGTGTGGAAGCTGTCGATCACGAAATTTCCAGAAGAAAAAGTGCTTCAAACTGTTAAATACTTGCACTGACGACAGTTAAAGAAGGCCATTAAAAATATTATAGACGTTTGTGATGCATAAACGCCTCTAACCCTTGCGAATGCAAAAAGACAAGGGATGTTTGGATATATCCTGTACCATGAAAAATATCCTACCTGTTTTTCTTCGCCAGATTCCAACTGTGTCTCTGATTCTTGGTTTTCTGACGACATTTTTTTCTTACTCTGTATAAAAAATATAACACACCTTTTCTTCGTCTGCAGGAAAAAAAAATAAATAAAAGGGACTTGAAAGAATTCCCCCTTCTCTCTCTCCTCAACCCAATTCGCTTCTGCACAAATTTTCTATTCAGTCCAAAATGGCGAATGACAACGGTGACATCATCGTCGGGATCGCCAGCTTTGTGAAAGACAGGCACGGTAGCCAATGAGAGGGGGAGTTACCCCGCCAGATGTCGATGGAGAGCCAATGGAAGGCCAGAATAAGAGGGTTTTTGGGATGATTGACACTAGTCCAGCCAATAGCGACAAAGGAAAAATTGAACGCCACTGAAATGGCTCTCCTCTGTGAACTCGAAATTGCTTTACACAGATTAAGGGTGCGCAAGGGTTATGGTGAATATGTGGGGTGTTACTTAACGGAATTAGCAAACAGGTTTATCAAAACGATTAACCTAACCCAGTCGGATGTCTAATGGGTTTAATTAAAAAAACAGGTCACAGTTATCGCATATTAAATACGAATGTCAAACAAGGCTACAACTGGCTGAGCATCCTTCCCATGAACCAAACTGTAGGTAGGAGTTAAAATTAATGAACACGAATTATTTCATTTCGAGTGGGATTGCTCAAACCAATACCTGTAATAATTCAGCAGGTCCGATTAATTTGCGTGACGCGTCTGGAAGATAAAGGATTTAAAAAAAAGAACCACTCTGTGATTATGTAACCTTTAAAAAAAGTAACTATTCAGTTATTAAAATTAATTTTAATACCCTGAATAGGGGGAAACAGACTATAATTTACTTTGACGTTTCTAAACCCCTTGGCACAATTCATATGATAGTAAGGAGAATTACAAGAAGGCATTTGGATATATTTTCAATCACTGATACTGCTAGTCACCGATTTCTTTGCAGAACAAAATGGGATATAGAAAGTTAATGCCATTAAAAAAAACTCTTAATTGGTGAGATAGGATGGAATTATTTTCTCCTTCGCCGATAATGTATTCCTATAGACATCTATGATTAGTATAGTCCAGTGTTCTATAGATTATCTAACATTTTGGGTAGATAACATATTCACAAAGCCAAAAAAAAAAGATTTTTATGAAATGTTAATTTGTGTTCAGGTTTGTAATTTTTTTCTGCTCACTTATCTTTTTCGGATACCTTTTCTCTTTTGGTTGTATGATTTGATGGTCAATAAAAGTTCGAGAAACGAATTCTATGAAGTATCGAACTGTACAGTATTGCACTTGATAGGGGTCTCCGGTGACGTCATTTCCGTTCGCGACCCTGACGTTTGGCGGGAAGCGCGAGTGAGTGCGAGGGCCGGAGCCAGCTCGCGATCTCGAGCGGGGAGTAGTTACCGCATCTTCTAGGAAAAGAAAAAACTGTTTTTAAGGGTATGGCCATGACATGTTTTACAGCCAAAGTGCGATTTCTAAATACCTTTCGGGTTTCAAGATGTATCGCTCAAAATGTAGATGTTATATAATATGGCGATGATGTACAGAAGATGTTATGTAATGTTGCCATCCGCCCGTACCCATTTTACAGTTACGTTAGATTGTTATATTGACCTGTTTTTTAAATTCATTAACAGGTGTGATTTACGTCTTTTAGAATGTATAGTCTTCCACCATAAAGCCTCAAATCGGTAGACATAAAGGGAGAGAGAAATGACATGACAGCATTTCAGCTGCGGTTTCCCCCTCGTGTTTTACCGTGGCACTTGACACGGTTAAAAGGCGATTAAAGCGATTTCTCGAAGTGACGTGGGGGGTTAAGGAGGCTGAAGGCGCAGCAGTGCCGCTGCGTGTTTTTTTTTTTAATTAACGGACTTTTAAATTAACGGACTTTTTTAAGAGCGTGTTTCCTTTGGCGGGGGCTAACCAGGCGGGTCGGGACCGAGCTTAGCAGGCCGTCCACAGACGAGAGAGGGCGATCGGCTCAGTGCATCACTTTCCCTGGTTTCACTCAAACCTTTTTTTGGGGGGGTTGATTGCCTTGGGATTTAACTGCGTTCACCCCGGCTCTCGGCTTTTTCAGGGAGACGGTGTCGTCCTGTCGCCATGGCAACGGCTCAGCTGCAGAAGACGGCCGCGGTAAAGTTTGGGAACTGTGATTTATTATTAATATATATATATATTTAAATCTAGACCTCTTTTGTATTTGGCTATCACAATATAAATCGTTGGAAAATTTCTGAGATTTTGATATCGATAGTGATATTTTAAAGAATGTTTTTCACGCGTCTCTTCAGTCTGTTCGTGTCAGAAGGATTTTGTTTCTTTCGTTTTCTGAACGGTTCGTGTCGAGTGCTGTAGAAATCTGTTGGCTGTTGAAATGATGATTGGTTGAAGCTCACGCCTGGCTTATTACTGACTTGTTCAGTTCGTGCTTTCGTCCAGAGCGACCTCACTTTGTTCCCGTTTCTAGGTCTGGACGGTTTTATAGGATCATTCTAAGCAGGGGTACATCATGTGGTCCCTGAAACCACAACTGAGTTATGAGCAACACTGCTGCACCACTTTAAAAGACCCTGCATTTAATAATCACAAATTCTGCACTTGAAATTCTAACAGCCAAAGGCCAAGAGACCAGAGGCTTTCAGAATCAAGCCAAAATAATTGTACTGTGGTGAGTTAAGTGTTGCATGTCTCAGTTTTTTTTGGGACCAAACTTTAATTTACGTCCCATCGCTTTATAGAAATTGAGGATACACTTCTCTTCTTTATTAATTAACTCGATCCCTACTATTAATATTATTATAATTATAAAGAAGTGTGCAGTATAATGTATACAAGAAATCCTTTGTTCCCTGTGCAGTTGGTATATAAAATGTAGCAAAATTACTGTTTCCTCTATGGAGCTATCAGATTAGTGTAATAAAGGCAGAGTGAGTTGTATTTACAGTATATGTATTGTTTCATGTCAAAGACTATTGTTTCTTTTTAATGTGTTTATTGTATGTTGAGAGATATTTGTTTTTTGTTGGGTTGTATGTTGATGCCAATGACAAGCCCCTCACCCCCTCTTTTGGATGGACACTAAAGTTATATGTTATTATTTCTATGAATCCCTTATCAGAGATGGCTTAACTTCAAAGCAATCAATGAAAACAACAGTTAATATGTAAATGCATTTAGTACTGTAATTTGAAGCACTGATTGGTTCAGAATTCATCCTGGTTTCCACGGTGATAAACGAGCAGAGAGGACAACCCCCCCCGATGGGACACCAGTCCATTCCAGTGTCTCTCCGCATTCATACAGCTGGTTGGCTGTACAGCACGTTGCACTGGAGCTACTGGGGTAAAGCATCTTATTCAAGTTATGACAGTGGGTGTCACAGCAGGGACTCGAACCCGCAACCCACCAGTCACGAGTCTAGAGACCCACTTTTGTGTGCCGCCCCCCCAAAAATGCATCTAGAAGATCATAAACTTGAAGAAATGAATCATCGCTCCGGTCTGACCTAATAAACTAGCCCAAACAATATGATAGAAGGGACAGGAGTTAGTGTAGTATTGGGCTGAGTCCTGCTGTACGGACAGAGGAGCTGCGATCGGGAAACAGACGGTGGAACAGCTTGTCGTGTGCTGGCACCCCGCAGGTCTCCCAGGTGTTCCCCACTGTGGTGTCCAGTGAGCAGCAGTCTCTGGCGCTGGTCAAGAAGCTGATGGCCATCGCCGTGTCCTGCATCACCTACCTGCGGGGACTCTTTCCGGAGAGAGCCTACGGCACCAAATACGTGGAAGGTAAAAGTGCCAGGAGCAGGTCTATTTGCTGGGATGTGAAAGCGAAGGGACAGCTCTTGATTCAGAATTGTTCGACTGCAGCACCGCAGGGAGAAGTGAGATTCTGTTAGGCCAAAATCAAGCGCCCAAGTGGTTATCGTGAAATGGCGAGGGGGGGGTTGAAAGTTTGATGTTTTTCAAATGATTAACCTAGCAAATATTTTTAAGGGTGTGTATTTCTTTATGAGTTCAGGATCGCATTGATTAAAAATGCAAATACTTCGTTCCGATGAATGTCTGAGGATACTGTAAGTGAATAGCGTGCAAAATGAACCGTAGGGCATGTAATAAATGCACGACAGCAGAACTGATATTGAGAGAACAGGTGATGCGTCTTATCTGCGGTTTGTTTATGGTACATCACGTCTGTTTTCATTGTGCAGATAGGCCTGTTTAATAATAAGCAGGTCTTAAGAGGAAGTATGAAGAAGCAGTTGTGTTTTTCATCGTTTCAGCCTTTTGAGACAACACTTCATGGCCTCTCTCTTGTATTAAAAAATAATCCAGCAATGTTTCAGAATCACATGAAATTCACATACTGCAGCGTGACCTAACACACAGTATGATCTCATCTCCAGTTTATTTTTAACAGCATCAAATGTGTAAAAAAAAACAACAACAACTTTTGGTTACCTTGAATGTGTTATGGTTTCAACCTAATGAAGTTTTGTTTTTTTTTGGCCAGTGACTCATTAACATCCTGTTCGCTTTCCTAATCCAGTGCAGTTATTTTTGAAAGACTGTTGGAAGATGAATCCCATGACGTGAGGCCTTATACAGAGTACCTTTGATTAAACATGTAGTCTGTTGTCTTTGGTGCTTGTATGGCTCCCTGCTGTGTGATTTTACAGCCCACAGTCACCTCTCTCCCAGTCCTAACTACACTGTCGTGGGAGTAATGAAGAAGGCCATTAGCTTTCTGTTGATTGCTCTTGGCCTCATTTTATTTTCTCCTGTCTGCTGTCTCTTAGATCAGTGTTTCAAGATCCTGAAGGAAGACAGGAGCTGCCCGGGATCAACCCAGGTTGTAAAATGGTCAGTGACTGTGCCGAATCGCCAGCGTTGTTTCTCAGTTTGTTGTTTGTTCAGTCACCTCCCGATCCTGGCCCACGCGCACAAATAAATACGCCTGACGATAGCACAGAGTCTTACTTCAGCTCTTCTGCTCCTCGGTGGCAACTAAAATAAACAGCGGCGCTTTGGGAAGCATCGATGTGTCAGTTTTAGTGTGTGGGAGGCACAAAGGATGCAAAATAACTTTTGTGATTGAAGGTTTTATTTCTTCACAGGATGCAGGGATGCTATGATGCTCTCCAGAAAAGATACGTAAGTGTGCTAGGACTGTAATTTACTGCTCTCATTTTATGATATTCTAAAACTCCTATGGCAGTACAGTAGTGAGCATTGCTGCCTCACAGCCCTGTGGCCCTGGGTTCAATTCCAGACCCGGGGTGCTGTCTGTGTGGAGTCTGCATGTTATCTTCATGTTTGCGTGGGTGTCCTCCCAAGTGCTCCGGTTTCCTCCCACCGTCCGACATACGACATACTACACCGTCCAACGTACGAGTGCGTTAATTGACTTCTGGGAAAATTGGCTCTGGTGTGAGTGTGTTCGCGTCTGCCCTACGATGGACTGGTGTCCCATCCTGGGTGTGCCCTGCTTTCTGCCCATTGCCTGCTGGCTGACCCGCAACCCTGTACTGGAAGAAGTGATTTGAAAATGAAAGAATAGATGACGTACATTATTGCCAAGGATGCTGGAGGGTTGAGCAGTTTTGCTAGGCCGCTGGCTCAGCGAGTTTCTCCCTCAGCATAGTTACTGAATCTCCTCATCCTCCATCCACTGTCTGAGAGGGAATTCAAGACTTCTGTTGCCTGTAACTCAGCTGCTGCAGAGTACCTGGTGCTCAGTAAGTTCCCTTTCATGCACGCGGCTGCTAATTGAGTTTTTGTTTTGAAAGTACCTAATCTTAGAATTGGTGTTAATACCCAGGCCTGTTCTGGAGGAGCTTTGCAATCCATGCTGCGGTTTAGAATATTTAGTTGTATTGACCTGCACGTTGCAGCAGAGCAACGTCTTTTCCTGGTGGAGAAGAGCAGCCTCAGTGCTTCAGTGCATTAACCCAACACAGCAGCCGTGTCTCCCTGATACAGCCTTGCTCACAAGGGATCCTAGTTCGCCTCGTCACTTCCACTCTTTCCTCAGTTTAAAACCACGGGCGATGTAGAAACATTAGCTTCTGCACCAGTTAATGTGTTGGGGGAGGGGTGGCCTTTTTAACACCCAGGGACTGAGCTGCTCCCTTCTCAATTAAAGTTGTCCTCAATTTTATCTGTGGGCTTCATAATCGTTCGTGTTTGGGGATGAGGGCCTTTTTCTATAGAGGATACAAGAGGTACTTCTCGGATGCATGAAGGTGAATTTCTGTTTCATTGTAATATTTTTGCCTCTTCTTTTGGGAATATCATTTTATCAATATCAAAAATATATGGGAAACCCTTGTCCGGGTACTTTGTAAAAGAGAGCCCAAGACATTTAGTAATAATTCTTTACACTTATATAGTGCTTTTCTAGACACTCCACTCAAAGCACTTTACAGGTAATGGGGACTCCCCTCCACCACCACCAATGTGTAGCCCCACCTGGATGATTCTTAAGCTCAGTTTCTTGTCACTCAAATTAAGCTGTGTTAGTGACAGGCGTAGGTGTTATGAGTGTAGGTGCTCATAGCTTGCATTAGGTTTAACTTCTGACAGAGCAGAAGATATTTAAGACTTTGTTATGGCAGTGTACTTATCTTTGAACTTGAACTTGAACTTTATTGCCATATGTAACCGGTACTGGTACAATGGAATTCTTACTTACAGTTGCTGTGTCTTGACTTATTCTTTAGCAATAGAAGTATCAGTGTTACAGTACATTACTGAATGTTGTGCTACTGGTTTCTCCAGTTTTGTGTGTAGAAACCATTTGAGAAGTGTTTGAATTTCCTTTGTGTACTATAAGATATTTTAACTCAACTTGTTTTGACTCGGCTTAAAGTTTTATTTTTTGTCATTTTTCAGTTGCGAATGGTTGTTCTCTCAGTAAGTATGAACCATTTATGAAATGCAATTTTGTTTCTTTCACCATTTTGAACCAAAGTTTGCAAAATGCATTCGACATCTACCTTTCTTCCCCAGATCTTTGCCGATAAAGACAGCCCTGAGGTATAAGAAGCACTTTATTTCCAATTCATTTATATGAACTTCTATTTTCTACAGCATATTTTAAGTTAATCTACTCTTATGGCAGAAGCAGTTCGTTAGCAAGTGTTAGAGTTAGTTAATCTCTGCAACAGCTCAGCCAGATTCCGTTATCTGTTTTTATAAGATGGCACCTATTTCATTTCCAGACAGTGACAGAGTGCTATCAGTTTAAAATCAAATACGACAGGGAGGGACCACAGCTGGATTTTGGAAGGTAGGTTTTAACACTGACAGAGATATGGTGGCAGCCAGTACCAAAGTGCTGGGTGGCTTACAAGAAGTTAAGGGCCTCTGAATGGCTCAAATGGTAAAGGCACTCGGAGCTGAGCGCCACGGTTAAGATTGTGCACCATATGTATAGTTGGCCCATGACTGGGATTCTCCCATTATCGATGTACAGGTGAGATTGTCTTTAGTGAGCCACATTCCTGTCCGCTTAGAGTGCAGTGACATCAAAGAGACACGCCCACTCTCCCAATCAGTACGAGCGCTCCTGTAAGGCACTGGAGCCCGCAGGGTGTGCATCTGCATCTGGACCTTTCCTGCAGGAATCGTTTCGTTCCTGTTTGGTACAGGAGCTGAAGCTGTAAAAGTGACGAAGTCTTGCACAAACTGATACCAAATTGATTGAGCATAAAATAGAAAAGAACTGGGTGATACCAAAAATTGTTAAAAAGAACTGAATAAAAAAGGTTTCTCAAATGTTTCTTTTTTTTTTGGCCCTGTTACATACATTGATCATTAGTCACGTTTATACTCCTTAAATCCATAACGCCTAAAGAGCTATTTCTTAAAAGCGGAGGGAGATCGTTACGCCAGTGACGTCGGCGTCGCCCGGGTAGCTAGCGAGCCCTTTCCTCTCGATGTGTTTTGCAGCAGCACCAAGCGGAGTGAGCTGAAGCTGTCCTGTAGCGGCAATACGAAGGCGGCAAGCATCCTCCTCATTCGCCGGCTGTACGTGCTGATGCAGCACCTGGGGCCGCTCCCGAGCGACGTCTGCCTGAACATGAAGCTCTACTACTACGACGAAGGTCATTTCCCCACCGGGAGCCGGCTCACCCCCGTCGACCTGTCCTTAAATAAGGGCGGTCCATAGACGCTCCACTCATATCCATCCAGCCATTTTCTAACCCCTTCTTCCAATTCAGGGTTTCGGGGGAGAAGGAGACTATCCCAGCTCACAACAGGTGCAAAGGCAGGGTACACCCTGGGCAGGATGCCAGTCCATCACAGCGCACACACACAGACGCAGGCATAGGCACACTCACACCAGGGCCAGTTGTTTATAGAAGCCAATTAACCCACCAGCATTTCTTTGGAGTGTGGGAGGAAACCGGAACACCCAGAGGAAACCTACATGCTGAGAACATGCAGACTCCACACAGAAGAAGCAGTGCTTTCTGTTAAACACCCTGTTAGCTGAGAGCACTTTGTAATGGTAGCAGCCTGAGGAGCTACCTGTGTTTGTGAGAGGAGAAAGCTGATAGGCCCGCTGAGTTGGCTTCTGTGTTTATAAATCTATTTGAACTGCTGTGAATCTGTTGTGTCATAAACGATCTCAGTGTTTCATTTTCCCTTACTTTGATCTTCGTGAACCTCATAAGTTATACACTGCCGCTAACGTCATTCAAACTGGTAAAAACTGCTTCTTTCTTTATATTTATGTCTGTATGCTCCCCTCCCACCTTCAGTGACTCCACAGGACTACCAGCCCCCTGGGTTCAAGGAAGGGGTCAGCACCAGCATGCTGTTCGAGGGGACGCCTGTGCACCTGACCGTGGGGGAGGTGGTCACCCCCTTCCACGCGCTGAAGCTGAAGGTGACCACAGAGAAGGACCGGCTGGAGCAGGTGTGGCATTGATGCAGTGTACCTGCAACACGTGAAGATAATCCCACAATGCCCTGCTTTCTAGAGTGGTTCCCTGTAGATTCCCCACATAAGACGTTATGTAAGAAGATAAGAAAGCTTACACTCGAGAGGATGCCATTCAGTCCTTTCGATATGATAATTTATCTACAGTTTACAGTTTTCTCCCCAGGGGAGAAATTCAGTTGCCAACACATCTCATAGACAAACAGTAAATGCTTCATTGCTCATTTGGTTGCTAGTAGCAACCAATACCTGGTAGGATTTTAAAGTTAATGTATTTGTTAAAATAACTGCTGCATTGCTGTACTTTGTGTTGGATACAGTTACATAAAGCCTCGCAACCTTGTGCTTGTGCTCACACAAAGGACACTTAACTCATTGGAGTTTTTTATTAAAGGAAAAGAGCCTCTTTCACCTAGATCAGGAGGAACAACCAGGGGACTTGATTAAAAAATTTGGAGCTCTGACAGGTTTTGGCAAATTCAAACCAGAGAAATAGGGTAGAAGGAGGAATGCATTTAGGCCTGAAAACATTTTTTTCTACAATTGATTTTGATGGTCAGGAACTGTCTGATTGGCTGATTAGCTCGTTATTATGATCTTTTTGGCGTCCAGTAGGAAATGCTTGCAGTATGTCTTTACATTATAAATGGGCGGAGGGTGGCACTGTGGCTAAGGATCTGCACCTATGGCTGGAAGGCTGCCGGTTCAAATCCTGCTGCTGGCAGAGGAATCCTACTCTGTTGGGTCCCTGAGCAAGGCCCTCAACCCCCAACTGCTCCTGGGGTGCTGTATAAATGGCTGACTCTGCGCTCTGACCCCAAGCTTCTCTCTCCCTGTCTCTGTGCCTGTGTGTCTCATGGAGAGCAAGCTGGGGTATGCGAAAATTAAAATTCCTAACGCAAGAAATTGTACATGGCCAATAAAGTGATCTTATCTTAAAATATTCACTGCTAGAGGCCACCAAACGTGGAGACTGAAAGGTGGAATGTATGTAACAAGGAAGGTATGGTTATCCTGAATATTGCCCAGTACAGAAGGGGAAACCCAACTGAGATTGAAATATTAGGATCACGTCTCAATGGTTCAAGAAGAAGCTTTAGAGCTGTAGATTGATGGGGAAGCGGCATATGATTGCTGTGGTCTCTCCTTTTATCAGCTTCTCCTCTGATCAGCTCGTCAGAGTGCAACCTTTCCTGGAGGTCAATCTACGGCACTAAGAGTCACAGGCTGTGGGGAGTGTGGAGTCTCCCGCGCTGGTCTGCCGGTCTTTCTGTGTCTGTAGCTCTGAGGGCTGTGTTCTTTGCACAAAGGTGGGCCTGGAAGAGGGTGCTACTGAGAAGGAGAGGCAGGTTTTGGAGCTGGACCATGGGGAAATGGAGGAAACGCAGGAGAGCAGCATGAACATTGTCCAGGTGGGAGATGCAGCCTGCTTCCCTAAGGGGCTCCCTTTTCACAATCCGCTACAAGTCAGTTTAGGGTCTACAGTAACTGAACGTGAAAGCACTACAGTACAAAGCACTAAGATTACTATCTAAACACTAAATTTAAAATTGACATCTTTCTGATATTGAATTCTTCACTTATTTTGTATCGTTTTGTGATATGCAAGTATTCTCTCCTGACATTGTCTGACAAATTAGCTTTAGATTTCTAGATCTGAAAATTAAAGACTAAATACAAATTTGCTTGGAAAAATTTACAAAATGAATAGCATTCAACAACATATCACCCTTTAAAATGCAGTGTTTTTAATAGATCCCAAAATCTGCAAAGATTGATCCTGCTTTGAGTAAAACAGTCTCAGATTTTGAATTGCCAGTTATTCTTATCTACCCACCTGATCTGGAATAGGGAAGTAACATAAAATAAATATCAGAAATGGTAGGAATAGAGGTACTGTAACAGGCAGAAGCATTTGGAATGTCACAATTGAGTTAGGCCACCAGAGGGCAGCATAAAGACACTAAAAACAGAAAATGAATCATATAAATTTCCATGAGGTCAGTAGGGGAATTGGCTTCATCTGTTGGGAAGCCAGTTCCCCTGCATAAGGCCAACTGGGAACAACAAAGGAGAAAGGGGAGCAAGTGACGGACCAGAATCAGGGCGGGTCCAAGGTCCTAATTCCCCTTATAAAGACGGGGGTTAGCCCAAGATCTAAGTGCACAGATCATCCACTCCTTGCTGCCAGGACTAGGGGAATCTGTCACGGGTACATAGAGTTGTGAAGGTCTTTCCAAAAAAAGCCCGCCTTTTAATTTCTCTTTTCACGCAGGAGCAACAGCCCATGAGAGCAGACACAAACGAAAAAGACTGTAACGAGAACACTGTTGCCGAAGATTCAGGTACAGCCAGCTGTTCTGATTCAGGTGGGGTTAGTTCCCTGGGGAATGATCAGCAAGGAGTATTTCTGGGATTCGTGATGCGGTGTCTCGCTTTCCTGCTTCTGAACATCAGACCTCCTGGTTGTGGGGGCAGAAGACAAATCTGCGATCAACACTAGAAATCATTAAGACGGAGACTCTCAAACTTTCACATGAATCTTGCCAAGAGGCTGTGATAAAATGACTCAATATCTGTAGTTTTGGCATTAAACCTGAATGCAGGAATACGCTTCTTTCAGTATGGGCTGGGTTAAACTGGATAAAACCTGAAAAACAGCCCCACTGATTATGAAGCAAGCTGTAGAACTAAGCAGTACAATTTGTGGTTTACCTTTGAATATCATTCTCATCTTTAAGATGCAAGACAGGCCTGCCAGCAGGATCTCAGAATCTTTGAAGGGGGACTGGATAGCTCCCAGCACTCGCAGGTGATGTGAGCCCTCTTCTCTAAATGTCGCTCTCCAGAGGGCTTCTCTGTGACAGCAGGAGATGCCAACTTCGGACGTTGTTTACTTGTTCGTTTTCAGATGGATTCTCTTGTGAGACAGACTTCTGACCTGGAAATGAGTGTCAGCAGAACCAGGAGTGGGCGGATGAGGTTGATCCCGGTAAGAGCAGGGTTTAACTGTGAGTTTCCCATGCAGTATGTATATCAGCTGGAGCTCCGGCACTCCCCACTGGTCAACATTTCCCATAAACATCACCGACCTACAGCCTTGTGAAGAGAGGAGTTGCCAAAGCAGTTTAAAAAAGCTGGATTATTCACATTTGGTTCATTTGACAAGAAGCAGAAAATTGAATCAACGATGTACCAAGATGACTCAGTTGAGAATAATTCCTCATTTATGTCAACACAGATGATAAGAACGATAGCATTCCTGGGGACAACTACGGTAATAAAATTACTTAAATTGTGAAACAAACGATATTGACTCCATTAGGGACAATGAGCTGAAAGGGACCTTAAAACTGGTCTCTACTTCATGATCCTCACAGAGCGTCTTCCCCTACAAAGGCTATCGTGGTGCCGAGCGTGGAAGTATTGTTCAGATAATTTACTAAATTATTTCCAAATTCTAGGCGTGAAGATGGACTTAATACCCCTTGCTCTGCATCATTAGTTTTTGTCTGGCCGGAGTTGCATAGCCAAGTTTAGTGATTTAGAGCTTTTATGCATTGTAGTTTGTTCTTTAGCTTATTCTCGAATACTTAAGAGAAACTTGTGCCTTTTAGTGAGGTAAGAGACGAGCCTGTTCCTCTCTCTGCAGCAGCCAGATCAGAGGAAGAGGGGAGCAGACCCTTGTGGCAAAAGCAGGAGCAGCAACAAGTCGGTGAGGTTCAAGGCACAGACACCCCAATACGCCCCCACATAACACAGCTCCGCCCCTCCACTGGCAGGCCTGACCTCTTTCTGCCCCACAGCCAGACGTCTTCAGAGAAACACTGTACCTCACCCAAATCTAGACATCG